TGACGACGTCTCGGGGTGAATACTTTTAGCGCTGTTTTTTTCCTTCTCTCTCCTGGTTAAGGGAAGCCTTTTTTGATCGTTGTGGCCAGTTTTCTATTGGGCAATTCCCTAATAGCAACACAACTCTACACTTGGCTTTAATTCCTATTGGATCATCATCATCATCACGATAGTTACCGTGGCCCATCTTTCAGACTCATGGGGCTGACGCATTCAACCTTTGAATGTAACCCTCATCATCATCATCCTCTGCCGTGATCCGTCCACTGCTGGATGGAGGGCGTCGACATTTTTCCCAAGCCGTCACCATCTCGCGATTCTGCAACGGAGCAATTGATCGCAGACCCTACTCGCAGGCTGATTTCGTCGCTCCATCTCCCCGGTGGCGGTGACCCACGGACGCGTCCTCTCCCCTCGACTTTGAATCTGCCTTTGTTCTTGCAGCGACGTGTCCTACCCCAGGCGCACTCGCTCTCGACCCGGACAAACGTCAGGTGCCTCCGTCGCTCAAATCGTCGGCATCGGACGACGCTCCTCTCCCTTTGGCAGCTCCCGAGCAGCTCGTGGAGATATCGGAACCCTGCCGCGGTGTAACGGCGAGAGGCGCGCCGTTCGGTGCGATCCGCCTCGGCGTGGCAGTTGAAACAGCGGTGCGGTGGTGAGATGTTAGCTGCCTCGCCTGATATGCAATAGGACGTGGGTTCGATACCTGACGCCTGTTGCATATTTCGCCCTGGTCACCTGGATTTTTCTCCCGGTGCTCTGGTTTTTCCCTCCACATTTAGAAATGTATGTTTTAGTTTAGCTTAATTCACTTCCTGAAGAAGTTCCCAGCACTTTGGAGTTAAACATCGGGACACAGTGCCGAACCATGCAAGGTACCACTCAGAAACAACGCATCCGAGTGTCGCAGATTAAGTAGAGTCTGTTTCCACGCGGGCTGTTGATGTGTGTTGAACGTCATATAAAATGTTTGGCAATTGTGCTCTGGGCAGACTGGTCCCCGCCATCGGAATGTGGAATTTCTATCACGATCATCTGCATTACGGAATGAGTCCGGGTTACTCGGAGCGCTCGGCAACACCGCAGAGGTCCTGGGTGTGGGTCTGGCAGAGTGGCCACTGCCCGGAGTTGAACCGGGTTCTCGGGTGTAGTTTAGTTTTTAGTTTCTTAAGCCTCCCTCCACCGCCTCCGTCCAGCCAGCGGTGCAGATGACCGTGCCGCGGCGAGTCGCCCGGCAGGTCGCGTCGTTCGGTGGGCTGAAGCGTCTGGCCAGAGTCGAAGAGGAAGCCAAATACCTCGGTCTGAGAGGGCACTTGCACGCTCCCCCTAGTGGAGGCCCGTGCTGTCGGCAGCTAGCGCCTGCGGAGCCGTGCCTTCACCTTCCCCACGGAGGTTCCGAAGGGGGGAAGGCGTCTCTGGTCATTCCTTTCAACCCCCCCAGAAAGCAGCTCGTCTGCTGCGTTAGGCACGGGTATGCTCGTGCCCCCAACTAAAATGAAAACTAATTTGATTTCAGACAGCATACATTAATTTTTCGTCTCCCCCCTCCTCTTTTCAGAACATAGATGGACTAGTCCTTCTAAATAAATTGCCAAATCGCTGCGCGTGGCGCTGACGTTTTTTTAAAGTAAATAAATAAACCTTTAAAACTAAATACATTTATGCGAACCGACACACCTGATGACGACCCTTTGTGTTATGGTCGAAACGTCGTGAGAATTTTTATTGTTTTATATATTTTTTATTATTTTATTGTTTCCCTTCAACGTGACTTTACCGAAAGAGCTAAGAATATGGAAACTAATTTCTTAAGAACTGCTTTTTTGTTTAGTTTGTTGTCCTTCCCTCCGCCCCCCAGCACCCCACGGTGGGCTACGTATGGTGCGAAAGAAGTTCAACATGCATACGTACATGTGACAATGTATAGATTTAATGATCACGTGGTATTAGTTGACGTGAACCCTTACTGACCATGAAGGAGTTTCACCTCCGATGAGCACGGTTGGCTACGTGCGGTGCGAATAAAGTTCAACATACGTACAATCGTTGACCCCGCGACCTCGGACCCGATCATCGGCTGAGCGGGCGGATGAGGCCGCGTGGCCCAGATTAGCGGAGAGGGAGCCGAGGGAGCGCGTGAGAGAGGAGGCGACCTCATCCCATCCCTGCTTGAGGGGAGGGGTCGCTGCTCCCCACTCCCCCCGTGCCGGGGGTCGGGCGGTGTTGGCCGGGCCTGACACTTGGTTTGTGATTTTGCGTGGATGTTCTCGTACGTTTGTCCGTCGAACTTCTTTCGCACCGTACATAGCCAACCGTGGTGATCTGAGGTGCGTGGGATGGACAACAAACTAAACATGATAAGGAGTTATTTTCTTTGGTTCTTTCGGTAAAGTCACGTAGAATGAGAATAAAATAATAAATTGATAAAATAAAATAACACAATAATATTCTCACGACGTTTATTGTGTTATTTTATTTTATCAATTTATTATTTTATTCTCATTCTACGTGACTTTACCGAAAGAACCAAAGAAGATGAATCCTTGCAGTCACGAAAGCTTTAAATCGAAATGATAAGGAGTTCTTAAGAAATGTTGCCTCGTGCGGGCTTCACCCGGGGTGAGTCGGCAATGGTGCGAGGGTGGCATGGGTCCTGGTGGCAAGAATGAAAGGCACGCCATGGTGGCGAGATGTTAATTGCCTCGCCTAGTATACAGGAGGTCGTGGGTTCGTTCCCAACCCTGACGCCTGTATATTTGTGGTTTGCATGTTGTCTCCGTGGTCGTGTGGACTGATCTCCGGCTCCTCCGCTTTTTATCTACACATTTAGGATCGACGTGGCTGCTATACATTTCCACACGGTGGAAGCCACTTGATTGGGCTCTCATTTGTGGGCAGGTTGCTGCTGAAAAAGAGCTCCATAGCTCAGGGGTCCTTACCTGGTAAAATAAAAATAAAATTTGGTTTAAATGGGGGCCCTTGTCCGATTTCTTTGCTCGTCTGGCAGCCCGGCGCCTGGGCCCCTCCGGTCCTACGGCCTCGCGGCCCCTCGGTGTAGACGCGGCGGTGCCGAGCGCCGCCTCTGCTTTGTCTCGGTATTTTTTGTCACCGTTGGCTTCTCACGGAGTGAAGTTTCTAACGCAGGCTTTCTCGACCAGTATCACGATTCGTAATGAGCTTCTGCCGAGTTCGATCGTCGCGTAGGTACATCGCCACTGTTCAGTCACGCTAAGTTCAGCAAAATAACACAATAATATTCTCACGACGTTTCGGCCACAACACAAGCGGCCTTCATCAGGTGAAGGGGACGAGACTGTCTCCAGCGCTGTCCTCCAGACAGTCTCGTCCCCTTCACCTGATGAAGGCCGCTTGTATTGTGGCCGAAACGTCGTGAGAATATTATTGCGTTATTTTATTTTATCAATTTATTATTTTATTCTCATTCTACGTGACTTTACCGAAAGAACCAAAGAAGATTAATCCTTGCAGTCACGAAAGCTTTAAATCGAAATTTAAGTTCAGCAACTCCACAACCCGACGGAGCCTACCGATTCGAGTTGTCACGTGATGGGCAAATTTTGCCGTTCACTTTGCTCTCTCAGCAAAATCGGAAGAGGATGGAGGAGGAACGTTGAAAAGCCCGAGCAACGTTTTGACAATTTTAAATTGCCAACTTGATTTGATCGGCTTTGCCGCGTGTGCGGAGGGTGCGGCCGAGCGTCGGCGTCCTCCCTGCACGGCGGTCTAAGCCGGGAAGGGCTTGGGCTACAGCGCCCAACGTGGGTACGCCACGCGTGCGGCGCGGCTCTTCGTGCGTCCCTGCTTGACCTGTGACCTCCTGTAACATCCGGGCGTCGTGACCTTTTGCAAACAACCAACCGCTCCGAGTTTTGCGAATGAGGCGTCCGTCACTCGGTATATATGTACCGTATGTACGTTGAACCTCTTTCGCACCGTACCCAGAGGAGTGGGTGAAGTACAACAAACTAAACACAAAAATCAGTTCGGTGCCTCGTGTGCAGTACTCTTCTCAACACTTGACACCTGAAGACAACAACAACGTCGACGACGACAACGATTTAAATGTTTACGGCCTCTAAATGAAAGCCGCATCTCAAGACGCCTTAGAAAAGTGAGTGAGTGCGTCAGGGTAGAGGGTGGGGAAGAGAGGTCAGGTCAGGTCAAGACGGTGGAACTTGGGAGAGAAGAGAGAGGTGGCGGCTCGATCTGATGCGTGCAAACCAAGGCTGCGCTGTACCACGTCACGATAAGTTCCAGCAACTTACGTGCAAGTTCATGCCATTCTGCGTTTGTTCACATGAGGGTGGCGTTGGTCAGCGTGAAGCTGGATGACCTGTGACCCTAAGGCCACGCACCTTTGAATGAAGTGAACGAGAGTGAAGTAGTTGACAGGTTCTCGGAGAGCACATGTATATATGTGGATGTTGAACTTCGTTCGCACCGTGCAAAGCCAACCCTGCTAATCGGAGGTGCGGGGCAAGGATGGCCGCACCTCCGATTTAGCACGGTTGGCCAAAGCGCGCGATGCGGTGACCACCGTCTTTGTTCGATGGTTAGCCAAAAGCCGCTGCTGCGAGGATGACCGGATTTCGCGTGATGCTTTTATCCTCCTTGACGAGGTCAGCGAGGTGTTGTGGTTCATTTGTGGCAAGCACTGTGTGTGTGTGATGAGTGCGACCTGATAACGTATTCGTTCAGCAACCGGAAGCCAATGCCGCTCGGCGAGCACTGGACGGACACGGTCAGCCGACGGCATCGCCTGACCGACGAGCGAATGCGTGCCGACAAACAGAAGGGCGCGGGAGTGAATCGCGATCGTATTTCTGTCTCGGCCGGGGGCGGAGCGCGGTTGGCATGGGACCCTGCTTCACCACCCGCACACCCGACAGCCACCTCCGCTGGTGCCGGCGTCGCGAAGCTGCTTGTTAAACTCTCCCCACCCCCACCCCCCGTGCATCTGTCCGTGCGGCGATCAGCTCGAGCTACTCGAGGGCGGCGCTGGAGTACGAGATCCGGAACTCCCTGGACCCCGTGTACGACTCCCCGCGGATGTCGCGCCGCAGCCTGCGCCTGCGCACCGGTAACGGCCACTCCGCCGCCTCCTCCCTCGCCGGGGACAGCGGCGCGGCATCGCAGACGGCGGCGATGGCCTCCCGAGGCGGCGCCGGCAAAACCCGGGACGGATCGGAAAGCGGCGAAATCAAGTGAGCCGGCCCGCCGCGGTTGCGTCGTGGTCTCGTCGTGGTCTCGTCGCGGCTCTCTCTCGCCGGCGCTCGCGAGGGAGACGGGAGGACGGCGGTCACACCGTCCTCCCTGGGCCTTGGTCTCTCAGGTGCAGCACGTGGAGGGGCCTACAGCAGCAGTGGCTTTAGAACGGCCGCCGCCGCCGCTGACGGCGTTCGAGACGAGTGTCCGTCTCGATCGTGGAGTCTCCACCGGTACCGGGCGACTCCCGCCGAGCTCGAGGCACGAGGCCCGAGCGCACATGGGCTCGCGCCGTCGGGGAACCGTCGAGTCCGTGCTCCAGAGTTCACGTGATTGTCGTTGCGTGCGTTCGTAACGTACGCAACGACGAGCAATGAGGCGGTTGCTCATCTCTGTGGTTTTGCAGGCATTCCACATTCCCACTGTTAACCACCAAACAGAACTGCTCCTCTTTTACCATCGTCATCATCACCAGCATCACCATCATCGCCACGACAAACGAGACGACACGATGGGAAGGGTAGTGCCGCCTCGAGTCGTCTCCCGTCTCCAAATTGCTTGCGTTTGAGTCGCTCGCGCGCTTTCTCAAAATAGCTTCTTGCGTTTCGATGGATTGTGGGCACGTTGATCGTATTTCCTGATGAGCCGTTCCGCAGCTTTCGTGCCGACGTTTCCTCCGAACGCGGTGCCCCTGGCGCCTCTGACGACCTCCGGCCGTGGCGGCGGTGCAGGTTCGCGTGGAGCTCGGGCGCCGTGACGAACGCGGCGCGCGTGCGGCTGGACGCCGCCGCCGCCGGGTCGCCCCGCCGGTCCCCGCAGCGCCGCGCCGCAATCTCCGCCGGAAACCACCCGGACCTCCTCCTGTCCTCATCATCCCCGCTCCCGGACCTCTCCTCCTCCTCCTACACCAAGGTGGAGACGACCTCCGCCTCCGTCCACAGCCGGGGTGAGCACGGTACCTTCGCCGTTCCATCGATCGCGACTCGCAACCGCGGTTCGTTGACATCGCACGGCCACGGTCGTCGTTGAATAAACCGGCTCTGCTTGCCGGTTTATTCCCCCCGTGCCGAGTCACAGATGGGGTTGCTGGCTTGTGCGAGGTCTGACTCCCCCTGTAGGGGGCGGGGGGGCGGGTTATGGGAGGAGGGGGGGCACCGGGGACACCCCGTGGGACGCAGCGGCACTTTGTGGAGTGACGCTTCGCCTCAATGGGATATCGCGACCCGGAGGAAGCGCCGCTTTGCGCGCGTTGGCAAAAAGCGTTCCGCGGCAATGTCGCAGCGGCCGTGCGACTCCACGGTGGGCGACCGGTGGGGGGGGTCCGCCCTGGCTCTGGCCTCGACGCAACGCCGGCGGCCATGCTCGCGAGCCGATTTCCTCGCTCCATCTCCTCGGCTCGGTGGGTGCAGCCCTCGGACGCGTCCCATCCCCTCGGCTGTGAATCTACCTTTGTTCTTGGGCGACGTGTCCTGTCCAGGCCCACTCGCTCTCGACCCGGACAAAGCGATTCGATCCATTCCCTCCCCCGCGTCACGCGTATGATTTTGACCACGCCGCTATACCCGGCGGAGCTCGCCGATTCTCCAGGCCCCCGTTGTTATTTCAGGAGGGCCTTGCCAGCTTCGGCTCCAGGGGGCGACGTCGCTTTGCATTTCCCGTTCGATAGATTTGAGTTACTCCTGAAGGCACACTCCCTTCCCTCGCTCTCTCTCTGGCCGCTGCAGCTGGCGCCATGGACTCGGAGGTGAGTCTGGCTAACGGTGCCGTGCCCTCGGCGACGCCGGCGGCGGAGACGGACTCCGCCCCGTTGCGTGGCGCCCGGGCGACGCCCACCAACGGCTACGGCTCTTCCGGCCGCCACGCACACGAGCAGTCCTTCTGCTCTTCCTCATCATCCTCCTCCTCCCTCTACTCGTCCTCCTCCGGCAACACGTGGGCCGCTCACTCCTGGGGCGAGCGGGTCGAAGGTGAGCGGCCTAAAGGGTGACGCACTCTCTTGCTGGCGCGTTCCACCCCTCGTCCCGTGTCCGCTCCGTGGCCTCGCTGTCATCTTGCTGGGATCTCGGTTGACGCCGCACTCCTCAAGGAAGAGAGAGAGAGACGGGGGGCGCTCGGCCTCGCTTGTTGTACGTGTCCAACCGTGCTTATTGGAGGTCCGGGGGAAGGACAACAGACCAAACACAAAAAGCACCTCTAAAGAAATTAGTTTTCAACCGAGATGATTTCAAAATGCACAGCTCCAGTGGCTTCCTAACATTGGAAGGGGGAGAGCGTTCCAGACGCCCGCAGAAGCGCATGCGAAAGCGCGCGATGCGGTGACCGTCTTTGTTAGATGGCTCGCCAAAATCTGCTGCTGCGAGCATGACCGGAATTCGCGTGATGGTTTATGCTCCTTGACGATTAGAGCGGTTGGCTACGTACGGTGTAAAAGAAGTTCAACATTCATACATTTGTGGCAAGCGCTTTTTGTAATAAGCGCGACCTTACAATGGTGTTCGTTCCGCAATACGGAAGCCAATTCAGCTCGGCGCGAGATCCAGACAGACGCGGTTGGATCTTGCAGTAAAAGAGTTCCCATCGGCTGCTTTGGTTGTTTCGGGCAGAGGCTCGTCAGCATCGTCGTCCGCCGTTGCGCTGCCGTGTCTCCCCCCCCCCGCCAGGCCTGGTGGAGACCGCCACGTGGGCCGCTTCGTGGGTGACGCGGGGCGCCGCGCGGGCGAGACGCGCCGTGCTGCGTTGGCTGCTGCTGCTGCTGGCGCAGCTGCTCTGGAGCGACGAGGCCGGCGTCTCGCAGGCCGGCTCGGACGACTCCAGCAAAGCGGCGGCCTTCCCCCGCGACGCCTCGTTCGCCAAGATCCCCCGAGCCGAGATGACCCAGACGACCACCACCACGGTGACGACCACCACCAAGACGCGGCGCCAGCGTCGCCGAACCGATTCTTCACGCTCGACGACGCCGACGTTCGACGACGCCGCCGCCGACGCCGCCGACGCCGAGGAGGACGATCGCTACATGACCCTGAGGTCGCGGGCGCTGGCCTGGCAGGGCCGCTGCGTGCACCACGAGCAGCCTGGTGTGGCCGCGGAGGCGCCGGTGAGCGGTGGCGGCCACGATGAGCGGCGGTCGCGTTCCTTGGCGACGCAGCTGGGCTCGTCCTCGGCCCACGAGACGTTTCAAGCCGGGGTCGCGCGCTACGGCGGCTACGGCGGCTACGGCGGCGGCGGCGGCTACGGCGGCGGCGGCGGCTACGGCGGCGCGGCGTCGCTGGCGGAGTTCTCCGATGGGGAAGGTACCCAGCTCCTTTATTCCTTCGCGTTTGCTAATTCCGCAAAGTGTCTTGCAATCGATTGTCATCTGAGCGACTGGCTGCGAGTCACCAGTGGCAATTCCCGATTGCCACGGTGGAGGAAGGCTGATGGGCTGAGTCGCCCTCGAACCGAGAGCAAAACAATCGTTCCATTTCAAACGCTGCGGCCTTAAAAGGAAAAGCATATAACAGGCGACGTTTTCACCAATGGTCCTTTTTTTCATATACCCACAATTAATTTAGGTTTTTTTTTCTGCGAGCGTCTCTTGGTGCCGCTGTGCGACGGCCCGCCCGGTCGGTGTTGACCGTGTGGCGAAGCGAGGAGCGGTTGAGGTCGTGTGAGCGGAGCGCGGTGACGGCTCCGTTCCGTCGCGTCACCGCGCGTCTCCGCGTGTCTCCGCGTGTGGCGCTCAGGCGGCTGCAAGATTGAGAAGCGCAGCGAGGCGACCTCGAGCGCTCGCTACTCGGCAGTGGCGTCGGGGGCGGCGTCGTCGTGGACGTGGTCCTCCGTGAGACGCCTCCTGACGAGTCCAGGTAATGCGCGATGACGAAATCGACGACGACCTCCTGCTTCCGCTCACGGTGGGTTCGGCAGAAACGCGTTGCGCTCGCCGCGTCGAGGCGCTGCACGGAGCCGCGATGCGCTCGCTCGCTCGCGCGGTTCGTCATGCGTGGTGGGCGCGAGTGACAGTCGAGGCATGGTTCCTTCGGAGACGCACCGTCTCCCAAGTGTGGCAGGTGGACACTAACGACGGCGCACTGTAAGGGCGCCGCAGTGGCGAGATGTTAACCTCTTCTGATATGCAGGAGGTCGTGGGTTCGATCCCGACCCCGACGCCTGCTGTATACTTGGAGTTGCACGTCTCCCTCTCCCCCCCGGTCGCGTGGATTTTTCTCCGGGTCCTCCGGTTTTTCCCTCCACATTTAGAACCAACATCACCACGCGTTTAGAGTATTCGGCTGCTATACATTTCCACGCGATGACAAGCCGCCGTGTTGTACTTCCATTTGTGGCGAGGTCACTGCTGCAAAAGAGCTGTGTAGCTCAGTGGGCCTTACCTAAAATAAAAGTAGCAGTTATAGTTTTCAGTCTGTGGGTTGACGCAGCATCAAGACGCTGTACGGAGCACAGGCATGTTTACTTTGTAGAGAGCGCGAGAGAGGGAGAGTCGGTCAGTCGTAGGCAGAGGAGGAGAAGGCATTTGAGCCTGGACTTGAACAAGGGTAGGGAGTTGGCAGCACGGACGGCTGGGGGGGGGGAAACGGTTCCAGGCAGTTAAATGATCAAAGATACTTTGCAGGGAGTAGAATGTGATTTTTTTTATGTCCAAGGTGTTGTTGGAATTAACAATAATGATGACAAACGGCAATATGAGATGAAAGACGGTTTGGTGTCCTTCGCCCTCTCCTCCGATTAGCACGGTTAGCTACGTAAGGTGCGAAAGAAGTTCAACGTGCATACGTACAACAAACGAGGTTGAGTGTCCCCCCGTGTGTGAATGAGCTCGGAGCGGCGCTCATCTCCGCTGTTGGTCACGGGACAGGAGGAGAAGTATGTTGAACGTACATACAATGTATGTACATTGTATGTACGATCAACATACACACACACACATTGTAAACCTGTTGTCGATGTTTGTCCCCATACGAATATATAATTAGGTGAAAGTCAATATATAAGCAACTCGGGTGTCGTTTGACGTAACAGCGCTGGCTCAGGCAGGGATGCCCAGACGCTGGTTGGTTTCCTCGACAGGGGACACAATCACCGCTCGGGCAAAACGATCGTTGGGTGGAGCGGTGGCGCGGCAGTTAGCCGAGCGTGCGCTGAACCCATCGAATTCCGTTCTTGGCCACGACTAATGTCGGTGGCGGGCGATGACATCTAATCCAGTTGTGGACCGGCCCCCCCGCCCTTTACCGACCCACGTGGTGAAGTATGGTCGAACAACCCCCATACAACAGACACAGCACGGGGGGGAGGCCTTCGTGCAGTGACGAAGGAGGCGGTCTCCCACACCGCACGCAGCTGTCGCCGGCGGCAGCGGCGGCCGCTCCTGTGCGGCGGTGGCTGGCGCCGGTGCCAACTGTGTGTGTGTGTGTCCGGAGGGAGGGGTCGGTGCGCCCTCGCGACGGAGTGTCTGTTTTGTTCCTCTGCCGAGCTTGTCGGGACGCGTGACACGTGACGCGTGACGGCGCGTGAGCGGAGAGCCAACGGCGGTCCAGCGACCGCCGAGGCGGCGCGAGCGGCCCCACACGCCGCCTCCTCCTTCCTCATGCCGGTCGTTTCCTAATTAGTTCCTCGTCGCTTTAATGAAGTTTTTTACCCCCCCCCCCCCCCGCCCGGCAACGAAATCCCCGAGACGGACGACGCGGGGAACGCGGCGACGCTGCGGCCGTGCCGTTTGCGGCGTTTGCGATCCTGGCAGGGGCGGGGTTGGCGCCGTAATGGCGCGGCGTTGCTCTCCGCATTGTGCGCCGCGCGGAAAGACCAGGCCCATCGTGAGACCAGAGCGAGGATGACGATTCTCGGTCCCTTCTCTCGCTTGTCCGCTTCCTCCTGTCGCCCAGATTCACCCCCTGCGTAAACGAGGGCGCGAGTGGACGAACACCGCTACCCCCCCCCCCACCCCCCCCCCCTCTCGATGAAGGGGTTTGGGCGTCTCCCTGTCCACTTGTTGTGTGCGCGCGTCACTGTGCCCTGCAATGGGGAGCGGTAGTGTAGCGGTTGGCGCTACGCTGCGCTCCGAACCCGGCGACTCAAGTTCGATTCTCGCTCACGGCCAACACCGGTGACGATTATCTGAACCGGTCCTGGGCCTCCCCTAGGTCGGCTGAGTTTCTGGTGCGGTGTGTAAAAACATTACCACTGGGGAGACAAAGGCTGTCGGGCTTGGTGCTGGGCATCTTCGTGTGCTGTGCCGGCCTTCATAGGTGCTCGCTAACCGCATTTGCCCCAACAGTCTGTTGGTGCTATACGGGGGGGGGGATCTTTGTCTTTTGCGCTGTCTGTGTAAGGCATTTGTGTGTGTGTGTGTGCGTCTATTTAAGGTGGTGTGGGCGCGTGTGTGTGCGTGGACGTGTGTGCGTGTGTCTCAGGGCGCTGCGTGTCTGCCCTCTTCTGGTGGCTCGGCACTGGGTGGTACCAGCTGGTGACGCTCGTGTCGCTGCTCAACGTCTTCCTGCTCACCAGGTGGCGGTTCCCTCCGCACGACGACAACGGCACGACACAACGACACCAATATGACACAACACGACTCCACGTAGCAACGACACAACAACACAGCATAACGACACGACACCAACGACACCACACAGCATCACAACACAGCGGCACGACACAGCATAAACACGACGGCACCCACGCGCGTCGCTCTCCGCTGCCGAGCGTCCTGCCAGAGTGCTTTGCGATGCAAAACTCTGCAATCCGTGCGTCAGTCCGAGTCCAACTTCGAATTGAGCCCTCGCATTCAAAATGAGTTGTAAGATTTTATTTCAGAGTCGAGCTACCTGGAATAAGGGCCCCGCCGCACGGCCGCATTCCAACCTTCTTGCCGTGGGAATATTCCTGACGTTGTTTTCCGCGTGGACCGTCACGGAGCTGTGGCGCGCCGTGCCACGAATCTGCCCTTCCTGAGTTCGATTCGTTAACACTTACAATGATAATAACAATAATAATATTGATCATTATCGGCCATTTCTTTTATCGACACCAAACCGACAGTGATGATGATGAAGACGATGTTGACGGTGATGATGGGCCAAGTCGGCGAACGTTGCGATCACAGTTGCAATAATAATGGGACTAATAATAATGGCGACTCGTTGGTGACTGATTGCAATGATGAGTCGTGCGTTCATAGATCTCATCATCTCGGCACGTGGGAAATGGGCGCCCCCAATGACGGCTGACCCCTTGGCCACAAAGTAGTGTGGCTCAGCACCTGGCCTGGAAGTGGCGATTCGTCTGCACGCGGAGAGGGAGGGCCGATGGCCGTTGCCGTGCGGAATCTCAATTAAGCAATTTCAGAGTAAATCTTGATTTGAAGTGATTGCTTGCGTTGCCATCGAAACGTCATAGTTTTTTGTTATTTTTTTGTTATTTTCTGAACCTATTTACGTGACTATACCGAAAGACCCAAGAATACGAAATTCAGAGTAACGTTCTAATTTGGTAAATCTCTTTAAGTCACGGGTGGGGAACGTCCAGCCCGCGGGCCGTATGAGGCCCGCGAAATCATTTGGTCTCTGGCCCTGCCAAGGCAACCGCAGGCGGGACTCGAAATTCAATAAATCTCGGAGCAAACCTGGAAAGCAGTTGCGAGTAGCAACATCGTCAATACCAGCCAACATCATCACACGCCTCGCCAAAGAGAAACAGTTCCAGCCCATCACAGTAGGGGTGAGTTAATTAAAAATTTTGACCAAATATAACCGGCTAATTTTTTAGTTGATAATTTAGTATGGCCCACGAATGATGTTATAAATATCCAAATGGCCCTTGGCAGAAAAAAGGTTCCCCACCCCTGCTTGAAGTCAAGTGCCGGTTTAAGCCTCCTTCCCCCCCCATTCCCCTGCCCGCCATGCTGTGGTGGTTGTAGGGGGCTGCTGCTCCACCAAACTTATTGGGTGGGGCGGGGGGGGGCAGGACCAGTGGAGATCTCAATCACCACCGATGATGTGGCAGCAGTGGCCAGGGACGATGGAACCGTCTCCGTCACCGTTGCCAGGCGTGCAGACGTCCCCTACGCGAGGCTCAACCCCACCGCTCCTCCCCTCCCCCCGTGTAGGCACTACCGTAGGCACCTGCTCGGCCTCCTGCTGCTGCTACTGCTGCTGCTCCTGCCCCTGCTGCTCTTCTACGGTACGCTCACGCCGTCGCGATGCCCTCGTGACGCCCTCACGATGGCCGGTGCCGTCGCGTGTCGATCGCCGCTGACCGCGCCGGCTGCACAGGACCGACTCGGCGTGGATTCGAGTCGATGGCGCCCGCCCGCATAGCGGTGCCTCCGTCGCCAGCGCACGCTGCGTGTAAATGAGCGTCGCTTCCGGCTTTGCGGAGCAACCTTGCGTCACGTTCACGTGACGCCGGTCAACAGAGCGCCCCTGCAAGGCGCCTCGCTGTGCATCATCATCATTTGTTGATTTTGCTTGGGAAACGGGTTTTCATTTTCTTGGCAGTGGCTTTGTATGGGATTTCGTCCCCTCATACGTAATCGATGTACAGTGCATGCTAAGATGAAGTGAAAGTAAAAAAAAAATTTAAGCGATCTAGCGCAAAAACCCAATGACGACTCGTGAGGCTGGTCGCGAAAGCCTGCAGCCTGTTAAGTTTGCGCCATTGTCGTCGTCCGTGAGCAGGCGGCTGGTGGTGCTGGGTGGCGCTGGGGTCGCTGCTGCCCAGCGCGGGCCCCGCAAGCGCCGTGCTGCCCGTGCTGCCCCCCCCGACGCAGGAGGTACCCGTGAAGCGCCGTCGTACCGCGTCGCTCTCCGCTCCTCGCGTCCGCCGTCGCGCATCGCGCTGCTCCGTCGTGCTGCCCCCCCCCCCCCCACCCAGTCTCCGTGTCTGCGTCGTGTCGCTGTCGCTTTGGGCTCGCGATGTCGCGCGAGTTGTAGTTGGATACCCAGACGGATTCAATTTGTAATTTTCACTTCGGCTTTTCCGTATTGTCTCTCTGTCTCCACTCTCTGTCTCCCCTCTCTGTCTCCCCTCTCTGTCTCCCCTCTCTGTCTCCCCTCTCCGTCTCTGTCTCCCCTTTCAGTCTCCCCTCTCTGTCTCTGTCTCCCCTCTCTGTCTCCCCTCTCTGTCTCTCCTCTCTGTCTCCCCTCTCCGTCTCCCCTCTCTGTGTCCCCTCTCCGTCTCTTCTCTCTGTCTCCTCTCTCTGTCTCCCCTCTCTGTCTCCCCTCTCCCCTCTCAGTCTCCCCTCTCTGTCTCCCCTCTCTGTCTCCCCTCTCTGTCTCCCCTCTCCGTCTCCCCTCTCCGTCTCTGTCTCCCCTCTCTGTCTCCCCTCTCTGTCTCCCCTCTCTGTCTCTGTCTCCCCTCTCTGTCTCCCCTCTCTGTCTCTGTCTCCCCTCTCTGTCTCCCCTCTCTGTCTCCCCTCTCTGTCTCCCCTCTCTGTGTCCCCTCTCCGTCTCCCCTCTCCGTCTCCCCTCTCTGTCTCCCCTCTCCCCTCTCTGTCTCCCCTTTCTGTCTCCCATCTCTGTCTCCCCTCTCAGTCTCCCCTCTCCGTCTCCCCTCTCTGTCTCCCCTCTCCGTCTCCCCTCTCTGTCTCCCCTCTCTGTCTCCCCTCTCTGTCTCCCCTCTCTGTCTCCCCTCTCCATCTCCCCTCTCCGTCTCCCCTCTCTGTCTCCCCTCTCCGTCTCCCCTCTCTGTCTCCCCTCTCCGTCTCCCCTCTCTGTCTCCCCTCTCCGTCTCCCCTCTCTGTCTCCCCTCTCCCCTCTCTGTCTCCCCTGTCTGTCTCCCCTCTCCGTCTCCCCTCTCTGTCTCCCCTCTCCGTCTCCCCTCTCCGTCTCCCCTCTCTGTCTCCCCTCTCCGTCTCCCCTCTCCGTCTCCCCTCTCTGTCTCCCCTCTCTGTCTCCCCTCTCTGTCTCCCCTCTCTGTCTCCCCTGTCTGTCTCCCCTCTCCGTCTCCCCTCTCTGTCTCCCCTCTCCGTCTCCCCTCTACGTCTCCCCTCTCTGTCTCCCCTCTCCCCTCTCCGTCTCCCCTCTCTGTCTCCCCTCTCTGTCTCCCCTCTCTGTCTCCCCTCTCTGTCTCCCCTCTCCCCTCTCTGTCTCCCCTCTCCCCTCTCCGTCTCCCCTCTCTGTCTCTCCTCTCCCCTCTCTGTCTCCCCTCTCCCCTCTCCGTCTCGCCTCTCCGTCTCACCGGCGCCGTCACGCCTCGCCGTCTCACCGACATCGTGCTCCCGCGTGCCGCTCGTGTCGCTGTTCCTCCTAGGCCACGCTTGCACCCTCGACTTCCGTGGGGACGCCGGACGGCGGCGCCGCTGCCACCGACGGGCACCCCGCGGCGCCGCCCGGCGCCAGCGCGCAGCACGCGCTCCGGGTCGATCGCCTCGAGAGGGAGCTGCTGTTGCTGCGAGCGTCGGCAGCCGAGCAGCACGAGAGCACCCAGCAGGCCGTGCGGCTCATCCTGGAACTGCGCGCCGAGCAGCAGCGGGCGGCGGCCGCGGCGGCGGAGACGGACGGCGAGCAGGGCAGGGCTGCGGCGGCGCTGGCGGCTGCGGCGTTGGCGGAGGAGCAGCGCTACCGGCACCTGGACGATCACGTTAAGCGCCTGGCCAAGGCGCTGGCGGCGCAGACGGACGAGGCGGAGAGGCAGCGGCTCAGGATTCAGCTGCTGGGGCGGCAAGTGAGCGCGCTGTCGGCCAGCGGGAAGGCGGCGCGCTCCCGAGACGCCGGTGCCGCCATCGCCGCCGGTGCCGCCGCAGGGGGGCGGGCCGAGGAGGCTCGGCGGGCGAGCGAGGAGGAGCTGCTCGCGAAGGTGGACGAGCGAGTCGGGGGCGGCCTGGCCGCGTTGCTCGCGGACATCCGGCAGAACCGCGACGACATCGGCAGCCTCGGGGTGAGCGAGCGGCGGCGGCGGAGACTGCGGCCTCGCGGTTACGAGCGCGCGTGAATCGGGCTTCGTAGAACGGGCGTCGCGGCCACGGTGGACTCGGCGCGCCCGTTTGACACCGCGTCCGCCGATTTGGGTACCGAGCCGCGGTCGCTGATGCACGGCACGCGCGCTTCTTTTCGTTTCAGACTCGCGTGGAGCAGCGAGACACGGAGGTGACGCGGCTGCTGAGCGCCATCGAGGGCAGCGTCCTGGTGAGTCGCCGTGACCACCACGTGGGTTTGCCGGGTTTTTGCCGTCGGGCTGAGCGGGGCGACCGGGAAGCGGCGACGGCGAGCGGCGGAACCTCACCGGGCGGCGCTCTGCTCTGTGTGCCGACAGGAAATTCAGAAGGTGCAGATTCAGCTCCAGGACTGGAAAAGGAACGGGAGCCAAGACAGCGAAAGGTGCGGATGAGCCGGGAGCGGCACGTCGTGGTCTCTGCTCCAGTTGGGGGGCAATTCCGGCAGATTTCATCACCGCGGTGATGACCCTGACGCCTGCTGGGGTCTTCCGCTTTTTTCCCCTCCATATTTAGAATCAACATCACGCGTTTGTGGCTGCTTTACATTTGCAAGTTGCTTCTTAAAAAGAGCTACATTGCTCAGTGGACCTTACCTGGTAAAATAAAAAAAAGTATTTCGTTAAAAAAATGGTTGAAATAGATTTTTGCGTGGGACCTTGCTGAGCATATGAGCCTAGTTATTTCTATGTCGTTATAACAAGAACACATCGGCATGGGTACACAGACACCAAGGCTCAAACCTTTAGCCCCATCATCCCTCTGGGGTCTCACGGAGAGACCCCCGTGGTGGCTTGCCATAGGATTGTGGAAAGTGTCTGACGATTCCCCGAGCGGCGCCAGTGGAGAGGAGCGCCGGCTCGTTGGTGTTTGCGAGTCCCCCCCGTGCGAACGTCTGCGGAGAGGGAGGGCGAGAGGGCAACTCTTGACAGGCACTGAAGCACTCCCGCCTTAGACACCTAAAACTTCGCAGGACCCTCCCCCCGCCCACAGTTCTCTTGTGCGTACACCTGAGCAGAGGGAACTCTTTGTCGGAGCTGCTTTGTGTTTTACGACTAAGACAGATTGCCCCTGTTGTGATTTCATTCGATAGAAATTAGATTCGGCACAATCCCCGCAAAGTTTGCCAATGTCCCATCGGGAGCACGACGCTTCATCGCAAGGCGCGTGCGCGCAGGGGCGCCGACACGAAAATCCTGTCGCCAGGTTCATCCCGCTGCCATTGAGAAGGACCGTTACCCGAAACGACGCCTAACTGTCTCGGCAAGGATGGGATAAGAGGCCCACGTGTTGTCAATTTATCCCGGTGCTCCTTGAGCCGCGGTGATGTCGAGGTGAGGTTGGTGCCCTCCTCCAGTCGAATGGTTCTCAGCCGGGGGTATCGGGGGGCCCCTGGGGGTACGTGAGGTGATTTTATAAATGCGTGAAATTATATTAAGCGTGCGAGTCATCGGTGAATATTCACGTATGAATCTGCCAATATAAAATGATGAAAACATTTAAATCGACATTGTAACCTAGAGCGCTATAAAAGGGCTTTTTTAACTCATCGATGGTACACAGTGCGGTTTCCAAGAGTAACCAGCGATCGCGAACAAATTACGTCACGCGTGCAGAGCAGGACAACAGAGGCCTTCTCCCACACGTAGTCGGCATCTTACACCAACGCGGTTTTCCAGATGACTGTGCAGAGGCGTTTGCGACCACGCCGCTGCCGCCTTCGCCGGCGTGACTTCACGGCGTTTGCGTTGCCGCCCCCCAGGTGGGACGAGGGTGCCGGCCGCCGCCTCCTGTCGCAGGCCCTGGCGCGCCTCGAGGTGGACGTGGTCCGCCTGGAGTCGCGGCTCGAGGCCCTGAGCGCCCGCGTCGCCGACGGCATCGCCGCCGCCACGGAGCGCTGCTGCGGAGACGCTGCCGGCGCAACGGAACGCACGGTGCGCGTTGCCGCAAGCGCGTCACGCGGCGTCGCGCGGCGTCACACGGCGTCACACGGCGTCACACGGCGTCACACTGCATCCACTGACGCCGTCGTGGCGGCGGCCCGTGAGGGGATCACGGCGCCATGCCCCCCCCCCCCCCCCCCCCGGGGCCCCACGTGGGGGCCGCCTCTCGCTTCGCTTTGCGAATCGTCCGTCGCTCGTTCTCTTTTTCGTCATCGCGGGCCAGGTCCGCGCGGGCGTGGAGGCGTCCCTGCTGGCGCTGCTGGCCGGCGGAGACGGCGCCGGCGAAGGCGACGCCGGCGAGACGCGGGCGGCACTGCTGCGCTGGCTGAGCGAGCGCTTCGTGCGGCACGACGAGCCGGGCCGGGCGGTGCGCGATCACGCGGCCGACGCGGTCGTTGCCGCGGGCGCCACCGTCACCGCGGGGATTCACGGCGGCGCCGCCGACGGCGTCTCGGAGGAGGTGAGCCGAGCCGGCAGCAACAAACACAATGCAAACTCACGATAGGCGTGCAAAGTTTAGGAAAGGTAAGCGAGTCAGTAAAATGGATAAATAACTAAAATAAGTAAAGTGCATAAGTACACCAATTGCAGAGCTGAGCTCCCGTATTCTAGAGCGGGCAAAGTGACGTACGTCCCCGCGTGTCCCCCCGTGTCCCCGCGTGTCCCCCCGTGTCCCCGCGTGTCCCCCTGTGTCCCCGCGTGTCCCCCTGTGTCACCGCGTGTCCCCCCGTGTCCCCGCGTGTCCCCCCGTGTCCCCGCGTGTCCCCCTGTGTCCCCGCGTGTCCCCCTGTGTCCCCGCGTGTCCCCCCGTGTCCCCGCGTGTCCCCCTGTGTCCCCGCGTGTCCCCCTGTGTCCCCGCGTGTCCCCCTGTGTCCCCCTGTGTCCCCGCGTGTCCCCCCGTGTCCCCCTGTGTCCCCCTGTGTCCCCGCGTGTCCCCCTGTGTCACCGTGCAGCGCGTGCAGCACATGGTGCAGGACGCGCTGCGACTGTACAGCGCGGACCGCATCGGCCTGGTGGACTACGCCCTCGAGTCGGCCGGTACGGCTCCGCCTGCCCCACGCCACCTTCACCCACTCCCCTCGTGTGCGACTGCGCCTAGCAACCGCAAACCGTGTGGGTGCTACCACCGAAGCCGGCGGGGTGGTAGTGCCCTGCGCTACTGACCCCAGCCACCCGAGTTCGATTCCCGCTAACGGTCACCAACACCATTGACGATTATTTGAACCAGTTCCTTGCCTCTCCTCGATGGGCTCGGCCTCCGATGAGTACCTGGCGCGATGTGTAAACATGGCCGCTCGGGATACAAAGGCGGACGGGCGTTGCCACCCCCACCCCCTCGTGTGCCGTGCCTGCCCCCCGTAGCTGATCGCTAAGAGCACTTGCCCCAACAGTCTGCTACACGCCGTATGGGGGATTTTTGTCTTGAATCTCGAACGGTTACTCTACATAAGGCGTGCGAGAGATTCCGTCCGGGTACCGATTGTCACTCGGATTTCAACCCAGGTCTTGGATGTTGAAGGCGTGGTGTCCTGAGATCCCCCGCCGAACCACCATCCCCACCTCTTGTTCGTCCATACTTCGTCCTGGTGCGAGTTCACCGCGTATCGCGTGCGGTCGCTTCTCCGGAGTCCCACGTCTGTGTTGCCTCTGACTTGCATCCCGATGTCTGTGTCTCTCAATGTTCCGTCCCTTTCACTCATTGCATGTCTGCGCAAGTCTGCCTGTGTCTGTACCTCTGTGTGCGCGTGTGTCTCTCTGTGTGTCTGCGTGTCTGCTTCTGCCCCTCTGCACGTCTCCGTGCCTCTCTCTGCGTGTCTCGGTGCGTCCGTCTCTCCGTGTGTCTCTGCATGTCCGTGTCTCGCTCTCCGCGTGTCCACGTCTCTCCGTCCGCGTGTGTCCGCGCTAGGCGGCAGCATCCTGAGCACTCGCTGCACAGAGACGTACGAGACCAAGACGGCCATGGTCAGCTTCTTCGGCCTCCCCATCTGGCACCTGTCGCAGTCGCCTCGCGTCATCATCCAGGTGCGACGGTGACGCTCGCGCCTCGCAACAGGAAGGTCCCGGGTTCGATTCCCGGGCTCGGGCGCCTTCCTGTGTGGCGTTTGTAAGGTCACCCCCAGTTCTGCATGGGCATTCTCTGGGTTTTAAACACAATGTAAACCGGTGTCTGCCAAACCACATCCCAATGCTACGGAAAAACAACTGCAAAACACTCTATTGGGATCGCACACGGCAGCAGGAGCATCAGCAGCAGCAACATCGTCCCCTTACTGCGAACAATTGGCAGGAACCTTCTGTAAAGAGTCCTGAAGCTCTCCTGGGCGGACGAGCGTGGACGATGAGCGAGTTGAACGGCGCGCGTGAGAACGCCTCCCTGGCGATTGACACAAACGATATCCCGATTTGTACGTGGAGGCCAACGCTACGTGACGTGCCAGACGTTACAGGGTGCCACGGTGGAGAGATGTTAATCACCTCGGCTGTTATGCAGGAAGTCGGGGGTTCGATCCCGACCCTGACGATGCCTGCTGTATATTTGGAGTTTGCGCGTCTCTCTCCGGCTTTTCCCTCCACATTTAGAATCAACATCACGTGTTGAGAGTATTTTCCTGCTATAAATTTCCACATGATGATAAGCCACTCCGTTGAGCTGTCATTTGTGGCCAGGCCCGCTTCTGAAAAATAACTGTATAGCCTCAGTGGGCCTAGCCTGGTAAAGTAAAAATATAAAATCAATAAATAGTTAGACATCAGAGAGGCGTGCGGTGCGCACGATCGCGTGTGAGAAGGGCAACACAAACGAGCACCGATCTTTGGCTGGACTCGCCACCTCGAATTGTGGGAACAGTCTCGGGTTGCCCTGGCTGGGAAGGGTCGGGGGGGGGGGCTGGGGGAGCCGGGTGGATCGTCGCGTGCCGTGAGAGAGACGGCGACACGCACGGCCCTGGGCTACCGCAAGCTACCGCTGTGCTCACGCCTCCCTCCTGCACGCGGTTGGGACACGCAAGCCCCTCCCCTCGTCGGGGGGGGGGGGGGGGGGCGGGGGAGGAACCCCGCTCGCGTGATCCGTTCCGCACTCTTCGATAGCTGGCGCCAAAACCGTGGCACGCCCCCTCGCACCGATGACGTACACGACGTACGTCATCGGAACGGGAAAGGGTTGATGTAACATTCCCCCCCCCCCCATTCTCTTCCTGTCTCTCCGTCTCTGTGGTGTGCACTCCCCCAGCCGGACGTGAACCCGGGGAACTGCTGGCCGTTCCGCGGCACGTACGGCTACGTGGTGGTGCAGCTCTCGGCCACGATCCGCCCCACGGCGTTCTCGCTCGAGCACGTGCCGCGCTCCCTCTCCCCGACCGGCGCCGTGAGCAGCGCGCCGCGCGACTTCGCCGTCTACGTACGTCCCCGCACCGAGACGGAGCGCCCCGCTCGCCGCTCGCCGCTCGCCGCTAACTCGCGCGTCCTCGCTCGCTGCTCAATCACCACTCGCGTTCACCGCTCAGTCGCTCACCGTTCCGCTACCCGCGGCTCCCACGCGCACGTCAATGCGACGCCCCTCCACGTGCGCGTCACGCGTGGGCGCCAATCGCTGTGTAACGCGCGCCGCCGCTGCCGCTGTTGCCGCCGCCAGGGCTTGGAGAGCGAGGACCAGGAGGAAGGGCTGATGCTGGGACGCTATGACTACGACCAGGACGGGGAGGCCATCCAGACCTTCCCCGTGCAGGTGAGCGGCCGTCTCGGAGATCGAGAAACGAGACGGGGACGTCCCGCGTAAGCACGGATCCTGGGATGCTTTCACGCGTGCGTGCAGTTGAAGAAATTGGCGGGACCCCGGGGTCCCATCGCTGCCCCGGGGTGGGAAAAACCGCGTAGCGACACGAGTCTTGCCTTACCGACAACAAGACTAGCGTCAATCGATTGGCCTCGTCGAGAGCTACTCGGGGCACTAAGTTTCGTAAAAAGTTGAAAAATTACATAAACACGTTAAATTTACTGCCTGGGGGGCGGTGGGCTCGCCTTGGCATGGAAGCTGAGGATCGACGGCTGACCGGAGGGCGTCGTCGCCGCGCGCGATCGCGGCGGACGCCCCCCGGGGCTCGCGTTTGGCCGGTGGGGTGGCGCCCATCGTGTCGATCGCCGCCTGCTGCTGCTGCTGGCGCTTGTTGGTGCGAGTCTGGGCGGGTGGCGCGTTGCTGTCGGGATCACGAGTGGGCGGACTGAACAACAATCATAATTATTGACCTGATTTTCCCCTGGCAGCAATGCGACATTACATTCCAGCGCCGATGGCGTTGGAGCCATGTGACGGGAGATGTGCCCACCGCCACCCTCGCTACAGACAGCTGCTGCCGAGAACGCTTGCGAACCGAGTTGGAAACGTTAACAAAAGTGCCGCGGTGTAATTGGCAAAGTTTTCCCAAATTGACACGGATAGTCAGATGAGGCGGAGTGGTTGGTGGTGGTGGTGGGGGGGGGGATAATGGGGGGGGGGGGGGAGGAGGGGGCATTGTTTCCCTGAGCAGCCACCTCAAAAGTTCACTTCTCGAGTCTCGTGCCACCGACCGGCCTGTAGGGGGCACCGGCCCCTCAAGCCCGGCACTGCCGCGCCGTCTTCACCGCGCCGCTCGCTTCCCCGAGTTCACCGTCGCCGTCTCTCCGCCCGGCAGGAGGAGATCGGCGACGCGGCGTTCCGCATCGTGGAGCTGCGCGTGTTCAGCAACTGGGGCCACCCGGAGTACACGTGCCTCTACCGCTTCCGCGTGCACGGCCGCCTCGCGCTGCACTGAGGCCGCCCCTGCCCACCCCCCCGCCACCCCCCCGCCCTGCCACCCACCCACCCACCGCACCGCACCGGCCGGCACCGGTAGGGCGCGACGACGACGCGACGCGCCGGCCCCGCGTGCCGGCGCGCGGGTCGACCAACCCAACTTAAACGCCGATGATGAAAGTTTCGTTTCTTACCCGGGAGGCGTTCGTAGCGGCTACCCGAGTGGCGTGTTTGGCCGTCCTCCCAAGTTGGCGAAGGCCGTCGCGAAGGCCGTCGGGGTTTTTTGTTCACCGCGTTCGCGGCGTCGCCCGTCCCGTTGTGGTCTCGCGGTCGTTTTCGCGCGGCTCCATAAATAATTTCGAAGGCCCTCTTTGGTTTTTTTTTTTTCCTTTCCTGCTGTTGTTCTTCTGGCAAAAAAGCAATCGGACGGAAATGTTGTTTCTTTTTGTTTTTTAAAGCCTCGCGACGAAAGCGCGTTGTTCGGCTGCCCGCCGGAGGCCGCGGCCGCGGCGCCAACGTAGCCAACGTAGCCAACGTCGAAACGGGAAAAAAGAGAATTTCGTTGAGAAAAAAAACGTCAAACGCGTTCGTAAAAAAATATTTATTGTACACGGCATCACCCAAAACTGAGGCAGGTTTGTGGGGGGGGGGTGGGGGAAGTGGGGGGAGGTCGTGGGCCAGACTACAATGAATGTCACACGTGGGAAGAGTCAAACAGCACAGAGCAATTCACGTTTTTATAAGCTTTGCGATTTTTTGGCAAAGTTTTAAGGATTTTTTTTTTACGACGATACATACGTGTGTATAAAATAAAAACAATATAAAAATAGGGACGAAGACGTAATTTTGCAAACGTAGCGCCAATACGTCTGCAACGCCACGGGTTTGAGTCCGTTGTACATACATCACTGCCACTGTACATTGTGCCCGGAACACTAAACCACGCAGCGCTGGGTAGGGAAACGATTATAACAAACAAACAAACTAAAAGTTATAATATATTTACGTGCTGTCGCTGAATCGATTCTTATTGTTGTTTTGTATTTTGATTGTAATCTCCGACGCTGAGGCTTGCCATCGCGACTCGCCCACCGCGGTGTCCGTCGGGCTGCGCCGCGAGGACGCTTGCTTTGGTTATTTTTGGGGTTTTTTTTGCGACGTTAATTTCGCACCCCCCAGAGTCTGTGCGCCCCCCCCACCCTCGTCGCCGCCGTTCTCATTCGCATTTCCAAGCGCAACGACGCTAAACCTGTGGTTCTCCTTGTATCGGTTTATCACCCACTCCCGTCAGAATTGTCATTCGTTCAGTTCTCCCCCCCCCCCCCCCCCTTCATGGACATATCCCGTCCGCTTCGGTCGTCATCTCGCTGGGCTTCGTCACGTGTCGAGCTCACGGCGTTTCCGCCGGAGACCGGGATGAATCTTCTTCCGAGTCGCCGCATTTGTGAGCCTCGGGGGGGGGGGGGGGCGGGGGGGGGGGGGGGCGGGGTAGGGGGGAAGGCCGGCGAGTGTCCGGCAGTGGAACCCACATTTTCAACGGAACTGTTATTTTTACTTTACCAGGTAAAGCCCACTGAGCTATATCTAGTTTTTTCAGAAGCAACCTGGCCACAAATAAATTGTGATTGCTTATCATGTGGATATTTCTAGCAGCCAAATAATATGAATGGGTGTTGATTCTAAATGTGGAGGTGAAAAACCGGAGGACCCAGAGAAAAATCCACGTGGCCGTGGGAAGAGAGACAGGAAAACTCCAAATGAACAGGTGTCAGGGTCTGAATTGAACCCACGTCCTGCTGTATACCAAGCGAGGCAGATAACATCTTACCGCCGTGGCACCAAAATCCAATATTAGACGAGGTGTTGACAACGCGCGTTTTAGTGGAAGCTTGTAACGGCCAGCAAACAGGACCGCTTGTTGACCGCGAGGGAAACTTGGACCGTTCCGACGTTCCGACTAAAACCGGGTCCCCATTGAGGTGTCACGGAGGAGGTGTGAAAAATGGAGAGCTCAGAATCTGACACCACGCGCCAACAGATCGTGCACCAGGTCACATGGCCCCGCCGCGCGTTGGCTCGCCGTGCTCGCTCTCCGCTCGGCCGCTTTGGTGCGGGAAGCCGCCGGCGTGCCACTGGCCGCTTGCCGCGTTTCGCAAAGTTCCTGCGGTTTTAATTGTGGGAGTGAAGCGGACGTTCGCAGAAGCTGTTCTCGTAAAAAAAAAACACCGCTGCTGCCTGGGCCAGGTGTTCCCTCAAGTTCTCTCGGAGACGTTTTTAACAGCTCTACGTCGTTCCCGTGCTCCGCTCGCCAGGTTTTGCGGGGCGAGAGAGAGGGCGGGTAGCGGAAAAAAAGAATGAACCACAGGCACGGTTCACCTTGGACCTTTAGTGCCCGCTGGGAGCCGCCCTCCCAAGCCTTGGGGCTGCCCCCAATCGACCGAGGTGAATGAATGTCGAGGGTTTTGTGGAAGTGATGCGAAGGAGTCTGTCGGAGTTGGTGTAAAATGTGGAAAACGCTGCTCCACAGGTGTGCAGAGCCCTGCGCACCGCGGCTACGGGGTCGTCCGTACAGAAAGTTTTGGCATTTCGGGGTGGGGTTGGTAAAGTTTCCATTGGATCACGACGACCGCACCACCGTAGCCCCCACCCCCGCCGCAGCTTTGGCTGGAACCGGAACCCCCGCGGGCCTCGCTCGGCCAGCGTCGTCGCGGTGTTGCTGGCGGTGCCTTTGGGGTTTTTTCCGCGCTCGTATCCGGCGTTTCACTGTGCGGTTGCCGGGAAAGTTGTCTCACTCGGACCGTCATCGATCCTCGGGTTGATAAAAAATGAGTGCCACTGTGGGAAGTCAAAAATGGAATCGTCCGTTGGGTGCGCCGTGTCACGTGGAATTTCCAACGGCGGCTCGAGGGCCTGTCCTCTGATAAAATTTAACTTCACGTGGAGTCCACGTTGACTTCTTCACGGTGACGTCCACGTTGACTTCTTCACGTGGAGTCCACGTTGACTCGTTCACGTGGAGTCCACGTTGACTTCTTCACGTGGAGTCCACGTTGACTTCTTCACGTGGAGTCCACGTTGACTTCTTCACGTGGAGTCCACGTTGACTTGTTCACGTGGAGTCCACGTTGACTTCTTCACGGTGACGTCCACGTTGACTTCTTCACGTGGAGTCCACGTTGACTTCTTCACGTGGAGTCCACGTTGACTTCTTCATGGTGACTTCCCAGGTTCACCGACATCGCAACGACAACGATGTCAGTCAGTTACACAAACTTCCGAGAGACTGGGGTTGGGATACTGTTACAGAAACACTAAACTAAACGAAAACTCTTTTTTTATTTGACCAGGTAAGGCACACTGAGCTATATAGCTCTTTTTTTCAGAAGCGACCTGGCCACAAATGACAGCTCAACGAAGTAGATTATCATCATGTGGAAATTTATAGCAGCCAAATACTCTAAACGCGTAATGTTGATTCTAAATGTGGAGGGTAAAACCGGAGGACGTGGAGAAAAATCCACGCGACCAGGAAGAGAGAGAGAGACACCCAAACTCCAAATATACAGCAGCAGGCATCGTCAGGGTCGGGATCGAACCGGCGACCTCCTGTATACCAGGTGAGGTAGTTAACATCCCCTAGCCACCGTGGTTCTCTCCAGTACCAGGCTTGTTGCGTGATAGTGCTGCTCGGTAATGTTGCCACTTCAGGGACCTTGCCATCGATGCAGTGGCTTTGGTATAAGCCCCTGTTTAGTTTTGTGTATCTTCCTCGCTACTGCGATTATTTGTGCAGTGTTGACGGGGAAGGGGGGATTGTGTTTAATGACTACATAGCGAAGTGTACGTTAGACGGTGTTGTTGTTGTTGGGAAATCACGCAAATATCTTTGGGATCTTTGGGATCTGTTGATTTGACAAATTTATTTAAACTGGGAAAAATATATTTTTGATCGAGAACCAAAAAGACAAATTGCTGTAGAGCCGTGAAGCGGCTCATCTCTGTGGGTTTATGGTCGTTGGATATTTTCTTTTGTAAGTGGAAAGTGTGGGGAAGATATCACTGATGGTTTTATGCAATGTATCCGTATTGTGGCGTCGGGTTCGGACTGTACATACTGTATGCTATGCCGTATGCTGGGATGCCTGATGATTAGCAGGCGAGCGCTTTCCACGCCCTGTACATTCAATGTAAAGAACACACCGCACACACACACGAGGATTTTGCTGGTATGACAGTGTTTATTTTATGGAAAAAGCATGTTTAGTTTTTTTAAGAAAAAAATGACGGATCGAGATTCTGGAAGCCAAGCGGCACGATAATTGACCCTGAATTTTCCGTCACGCAAAAATCACATTCCGGGTCTATCCGTGTGCAACGTCTCTCAGAGCCCAGTGAGTCACAAACCTGCTACGCGGATGTCTCCCTCCGCTGAAACATGCTCATCCAAGCCTTGCTCCGTCACGCCAAGTCGCCAACGCTCCGTCCGGTTGTGGCCACGCCGCCTGTTTTAATTCGCAAAACGTCAAACCGTAACCTGGTTACTCTTTGGTTACTCTTTGGTCACGTACAAAATACAATTTAATAATGATATTTACCACGTGACTTTACCGAAAGAACCAATGAGTAATTCCTGCAGTCACAAAAGCTTCGAAACTAGTTCGTGAATCGGCTCTTGTTGTTGTTGCGGCCCCTCTCGGAGACGAGGCCGTCCGTGCCGTCCGCCCCGGACGACCCTCGCGGTGGCCACCGGGCTCACGGCCCTCGGCCTCCTCTACCAATTCACTTCCGAGTGTCGCCGCGCGCCGCGCGTCCCCGATATCTAAACGCACGAGGCTTTTAGACACGGTGCGCTCTGGGCCAGCATCGCATGGCGCGTCTCGGCCGCCTTAAGACTCTCGCGTCGCACACACGGCCGCCTGGGTCCCGGGTGGGGAGGGGAGGGGTGCACACGCGCGGCTTGTTCGTCGTTACACGACCGACAGAAACCGGCACGCTTTTCCTCGGACGGTGACCTCCTCGACAAGGGGACAATCCTGAGAAATCGCGGCTGGTGGCAACCGCGCGCGTGAATCCGCCGTCTCTGGGCGTCGTTGCTCGGGGGCCCGCGTGTTGGTGGCTCGCGCGTGCGATGTGACATGTCACCCTGCTCCTCGGCGTGGGTGGCACGTGGCACTAGACGTCACAATTGAAAAGGCGGCTGCTGTCTTTGTTGTTTGAGGTTCAATTAAGGCTCCTGTTTTATTTCCCCCCCCCCCCCCCGGGAGTTGAAATCCACCTTTAAAAAAACAAGGAACAATTTCGGAGGCAAATTTTCTTTTTGTACTTTTACAACAACCGCACCGGCACAAATTCTGGCTTTTGCCAAAACCCCCAAATTCGCCGCGCACCCCCTGGCTTGAGAACCGGGCGACGACGCCGTCGGCTCGATCCGAGCGAGGGGGTGGGGGCGGTTGGGGGAGTCATGCAATGATGCGACGGCGCGTGACGGCGGCCGGGACTCCGAGGGCGCCGGAGTTTGGACGTCTCCCCCACGACGCGGGTAAACAGCGGTCGACACACTTGGCCCATGAGCACCGCCGCCTGCCCAAGGAGCGTTCCAGCCGCGGCGCGGCAGCCGTCGCCCCACAACAAAAAACAGCGGAGCTCAGCGCTTCCGCTGCCAAAGACTTAAAAGCGGACGCGTCCGACATTTTAAATGAAGTCGGTGCCACTGTGGATTTCCTGCAGCGCAGTTCGCGGGCAGCGGTCCCGACAGCGGAGTCGCACACACGCGCACATGGGACTTACACACTCACTCACATGAGACTTACACACTCACACTGGACTTACACACTCACGCTGAATTTACACACACTGAATTTACACACTCACACTGGACTTACACTCACATGGGACTTACACACTCACTCACATGGGACTTACACACTCACACTGGACTTACACACTTACTCACATGGGACTTACACACTCACACTGGACTTACACACTCACTCACATGGGACTTACACACTCACTCACATGAGACTTACACACTCACACTGGACTTACACACTCACTCACATGAGACTTACACACTCACACTGGACTTACACACTCACTCACATGGGACTTACACACTCACTCACATGAGACTTACACACTCACACTGGACTTACACTCACATGGGACTTACATACTCACACTGGACTTACACACTCACACTGGACTTACACACTCACTCACATGGGACTTACACACTCACACTGGACTTACACACTCACACTGGACTTACACACTCACTCACATGGGACTTACACACTCACACTGGACTTACACACTCACACTGGACTTACTCACACTGGACTTACTCACACTGGATTTACACACTCACACTGGACTTACTCACACTGGACTTACTCACACTGGACTTACACTCTCACACTGGACTTACACACTCACACTGGACTTACACACTCACACTGGACTTAAACACTCACTAGATTTACACACTCACACTGGACTTACTCACACTGGATTTACACACTCACACTGGACTTACTCACACTGGACTTACACTGGACTTACACACTCACACTGGATTTACACACTCACTAGACTTACACACTCACACGGGACTTACACACTCACACGGGACTTACGCGGACAAAGACAAAGAACCCCCATATAGCCTTAACAGACTGTTAGGCAAGTGCTATTAGCGAGCGCACACACACACCCGACTTAGGGACTTACACATGGGGCATGCACACACACACGGGACGTACACACAAAGACAAAGGTCCCCCGTATAGCTCTAGACTGTTGGGGCGAGTGCTGTAAGTGAGCACCTTAAAAACCTGCATTGCACACGAGAGGGTGAGTGGCCGGCACCACGCCTGGCCGCCTTTGTCTCCCTAGTGGCAATGTTTGCACACCGCACCAAGTACTCATTTGAGGCTGAGTCGATCTAGGAAAGACCCAGGACCGGTTTAGATATTCACTGGTGATAGCCGTGAACGGGAATCGAACTCGGGTTAGCAGGTTCATAGCGCAGCGCGCTAACTGCGATACAACCGCTCCCCACTACACTACGGCGCACATGCACCGGACTTGTACATAAACATATGGGACACACGCTTCCAGGAAGGTGGCGTAAACTCGCCGCATTGCCTGTGCGGGATGACTCGTGTGTCGCTGTACCCATGCATCGCCACGTCGCTCTCCCGTCGTCGTCGTCATCATGT